TTTGATTAAACATATTTTCACTAAAAGCTGCAACGTTTATGGCAATGTACCTTTTTACAACTTCTTCCGCTTCTTGACTACAGTAGGCTTAATCTTTCAAAAACCCGATAAAACAGCATGTGATTGGTTTTGCTTGCTCAAGCACCGATTTCCCCCTAATCCAAGCAGTTTTTGCGAGGAAGTAATCTTGCGAAAGTGCAGGGGCTCGTATATCTGCTGTCGTACTGCAGGAAATTTGATTTCCAAGGGAAATATTGAAAAAGAGGTGGAATGGCGGAAATGCTTGCAATTTTCTGATAGAGAAATGCGCCGGAATCTTAAGAGCTGGTTTGAATGTGCTAAGGGCATCATTTAGAAATTAGAACCTGTAATTTAAATGGATGATTGCATGAGGAATATATGCGCCTTCTCATAGCATTTTTCGAATACAGATGAATTTGGGATCTAACGACATGCTAGAATTCAAAAGCTTTAGTAATGGTTTTTTTTGCAAATGCAACCATGAATTACGATTTTTCGATAATCCTCAAACATTACGGGAATAGAGCGAAGTAGTTTATCCCGGATATTTCAGAATCGGAGAGTTGGAAGCCGGTGTTGCTCATCAGCGACAGCTGCTTGACACGGCAAACACAAAGATTCAAAGCTTAAATGAACAGTGAGTTTTCCTAGATTTCTTTTTTGAAAGAAATCTCACTCAAACAAAATTTTTGCAGATTCCAGTTATGTTTTGTAATTAGCTAAATTAAAGTGATAACTGAAAACCAAATTTTCTAATCGTAGTATTTTTTGCACAACTATATAAGGTCAAACTTAGAACTATGCTTTTTTAGACTCGTCTCTGCTTTAAGGTGAGAATTTCGCTGTTTGGAGTGGAATAACAAAACTGAACCGAATGTTGATTGATTGCAATGTGAATCGGAATTTATAATAGAAAATTTTTACGTTTTAACGAATACATTTTTGAGTGTTTTTTGATAGTTGCCGTGATTTGCGTGAGTAGTTTTTATTCTCAGTATGTTTTTCTCCTGTTTCTTTGGTCATCTGCTTTGTTTTTCCGTGTCTTTCGCTGCAAAACTCACCTTTGTCCAGGGTTTTAATTAGTTGCGCTTTTGGACTATTTTCCTCTAATTTTCTATATGCCATAATGGGTATCTTTCTATGGTAAGAACCGGATTTGCTTGCTTCTGATACGTGCAATGTCTTGTGTTAGAAGAGGGGCAGGTCCGGATTTGTCCGCGATTGGTCCCTGCAACAGAATGGACCAATGGTCGGCGAGAAATAAGGCCGTACCAACCCATCTCAATGGAGTTTTCTATCAATGGGACATGATGCAATATTCGGATATTTCGAAAATCGAATATTTGTATGGGGATTGAGACTTCATCAAATTGCATTTTAAATAAAATGACAACTTTTGTATATGTAAGCATATATTCGAAAATCGATTATTCGAATAATGTAGACCAGCACTGCCTTGCTTTCTTCCAAGAAAAATGTGCTTCAAATATTCAGTTGAAAAATTCGATTGTTAGTACTAAGATATATTGACGGCAACCACCTATGTATATAAATGCGAGAAAGGCTTGGCTCTTGTTCAGTTGGGCAATTCTATTGTTCATTTGAGTAATACACTTACTCTAAGATCGCATCTGCTAATTAAACGGCACAACCCTCAACTGAATATGGGCAGTGAAAGTTTGTGGATAAGTGGAGTGGAAGATTTTCGGGTAAAATTCGATATTT